GACAACTAAGATATACTAAGATATGCCGAGGTCCGGTCGCCCAACCACCGTCGTCGTCCACTACAGAATCCAACCCAACAATGCCACAGTGAGGGCAGAGACCGTCTCCAAAGAAATGCAGGAGGTCAAGGTAAAAGCTGCCGCCTTGTCCTAGAAACTTGCAAATTCGTGGTTGCTCTGGGACAACGCGCACCCTCACAAAGCGAGAGATACTCAGACTGCCCTGGACAGGCATCAAGAAGGTCACGCATCCACCGTATAGCCCGAACATCAGTCCATGCGATTACCACATCTTCCGGTCCATGCGAGATTCCTTAGACGGAAATAGCTGAACAACGAGCGCGACTTAGAGGACGTGATCGAGGAATGGGCCGAGTCGCGGCAGGCCGGCTTTTGGGAGGATGGAGTTGCTTCTTACCCGATCGTTGGTTAAAGGTGGTGGGTATGCACGGAGAATATCATGGACCAGTAAGTTCAACTTGGTGAGTTATCTTTACAAGCTCTGAAAAACTAATGGTCAACGAACTTTATGGACATCCTAAAAATCCCAGCTACGTTGGATGAGGTCCTCGCCAGGCTCGACGATTCCGCCGGGACGGGACGGCTCTTTAGTACTCTCCTAAGCTCACAATCTTCCACAAGCTTACTCTCACTAATTTTAGCGACCTCGTTTCTGCCTCGCGCTTCTAGATGTGGACGGTAAGGGGCCAAGAGAAGCTCATGGACCACGTCGCGCAAATCCCTCACAATACGGTGTCTCCCTCGAGTGCTGACTCCTTCGTTAGCCCATTGCTCTCCTTCTGGCCATTTTCTCTTCCGTCTCTATTCGAAATTTGGGTTGCCTGTTGCTGCGCATTAGTATCGCTAGGAGTGATTAAATTCGTGCCAATCACATACGTTGGCATTAATTACCCGGAGCGGTTGCCCTCATCAAGAGAAATACTCCATGGCAGGAACTCCGGGAGGTTGCGACTTCTCGCGCTCATTGACACGAGAGCGGGCATCACAATGGCCAGGCATTCTCTTCTCTCCCTTCTGGGCAGATCGGTAGTGAACTATAATACTTAAGCAAACAGTGCATTTCACCGAAGGGCAGTGCGTCACAGCCCAAGCTGTTTCGTATATTCTCATCTTAAGAACGTGTTGGGCCGGTTGCCAACATGGCCTCGATTATGATAACCGCTTTCCATGTGTGTTCAGATCAGGTCCAAATCTTTGCCGGCTCGCTTCCCATTTTCCCCAACGATGGTCAGAAAGGAGCGACTGTGCGAGTTTCTGCAACTAATGTTCTTCCTCCGGCTCTGAGACATTAGTTCCTTGCTATGTGACCGATTCGCCCAAGGATGCGACGTTGTGCACTTTGCCGCGTGAGGTAAGAGGTAATGACCCTTCACGTAGCCCCTACGGTGCTCCTTTGCTCACGACCACGTCCGCCAGTCACGAATCCAACCGGACCACCTCAAGTCGTCCACAAGAACCAGCGGTTGGCAGATGGGATTGTCCTCGAAGAAGCGGAGGACGGGACCCTTTCGGGAACCCATACCTTGCTTTTAGTGCCCACATTTTAGCCGGTGCTGAGCTTGACGGAGCTGATTGCTCGTCGTCGGAAGCCTGTTCGTTTCGTGTAGATTTGTCTCACGCCGATGTCGATGAGGACCAACGACGTGAACTACAGGAACTCTTTGAAGTATATCAGGACCGTAAATCCACATCAGGGCTCCTATGAATTCGCTCCCATTTCGATCGACACTACAACCGAAATTCCCCCTTCTTGGCATAGACCAACAGGAATACCGACACGATTTCAGAAGGAGCTAGACTAACATATCAGTAAGTTGCTCACGGCTGGTAGGATCGTGGAGGGCGACACCCGTGGGTCCACAAAACCGTATTAGTTCGGAAGAAAGATGGTTCGCCCCGTGTCTGCTTAGATTTTCGCCCTCTTAATGACGCCACTATTCGAGATAATTATCCCGTTCCAAGAATTGAAGATCTATCTGAAAAGGTAGCAGGCAACCGATTTTACACGATTTTACTTTCGATTTAGCTTCGGGATACATGCAGTTGTTATTGGACCCCGAGAGTCAAGTCAAGTGCGGCTGGGTGACGCACAGAGGAATATATCAACTCGTTGACCTTCCCTTTGGCCTCCGCAACGCTGACCCCTACTTTTCTCGGGCAATGACGCGTATCCTAGGAGGTTTGGAAGGTAATTGTCTCGCCTATCATAGCCTTTAATACAGATTTCTCGTCGCACCTTCGCAAAGTCTTTGAAGGACTTTGGTTATATAACATGAAAGCGTCTGGTAGGAAGCTCAATAAAATTGCGCGATACAAAATCACCTTCTCAGGAAATGAAATCTCTTGTTCGGCATACTGCCCTGCCGAGCGCAACATACGCGTTATTCGGGATCTCCCGCGCCCGAGGACAGTGAAGGACGTGAAAGGATTTATTGGCGTGGCGAACGTTTTCCATAAATTCATTAAGGGCATCGCCGCTATGGCTTCTCCGCTCTACGAATTGTGTAAAGGTATGGCTAAGTTTGAATGGACCCCTGATCAAGGAAAGGCGTACGTTTCCATCAAGGAGGCGCTCATTTCTCGGCCATGCTTGACCTTTCCGAGAGACTGAATTTATTCTTCATACAGGTGGTAGCAAAGTCGCCATCGGAGTAGCCTTGCTGCAACAACAGGAAGATTCGTCTAGGCTTGCAGCGGTAGGGTATTTCAGCAAAACCCTATCGGAGTCCCAGCGGAAATGAGGCCCAACGCATATCGAGCTCTTCGCGATGGTCAGCGCGTTACGTTACTTAGGACCACCATATACGATAATCTCACACGAATATACTCAGACTATAAACCTCTCATCTTTTTGCTGCGCCACAATAAAAACCATGATAACCTTGCACAATGAGCAGTAGCACTTCAGAGCTATAACATCAAAATAGAGTACCTCAAGGGTTCGTCCAATGTGGTGGCTGACTTCCTTAGTCGAAATGAGTCTGATAGTAATCGCTTTGTCGATGGCACTCCAGAATCGGGAGACATTGTAGAATTCCCCGTTTGCCTAGTTCAGTCACCAGCTCCTGTCCGTATCCGCCCATACTATATTCTAATCGAGCAAAAGCAAGACCCCTTATGTAACTGTATAATGCATTTTTTTGAGAAGGGCGATTTTCCGCCGACAGCGTCACCGAAGCCATGGCACTTGCCGACTATCGCTCGATTCGTAAGGACGGCTGCCTTTACAGAACGTGTCAACGACGCGGACTCAAGTACAAAGCTCTTTTCCTCCATATTAAGCTTCGTGAGCCCGTTTGCATTGCCTTTCACAACAGCCCAACATCTGGCGGCCATTTTGATTGGAAGAAAACAGAAGGCAAGATCATACTCATAGGTTCTTTTGGCCATTGGCCAACTATGAAAGAAGATGGGTATCGTACGTCCGCTCTTGTGACGCATGTCAGGAAAAAAAATGAAGCCATCCGGCTGACCGCGGGCACCTTTTACCAATGCGCGCCGAAGCCATTTTTCGTATGGTTTATCTCGATCATAGTGGGCCTTACCACACCTCATCTTCTTCTAACAAATATATTATGTGCCTCATTGATCACTTTTTTAAGTACGTTGTAGCCGCTCCTTTGCCCGACTGTTCTGCGACCTCCGTCGCCCGTTGTCTCATGAACGAATGCATTCTCAAGTTTGGGACGATGACTGAACTGATCTCTGATAACGCTTCTTATCTTAAGAGTGATCTCATGACAGAATTGGGTAAATCACTCCGTATTAACAGGTAATTTTGTACGCCATGTCATCTTGAAGGCAACGGCCTCTGCGAAAGAGTTTTCGCCACTTCCCAGACGATGTTGCCGACATATATCAGCGACAACCAGCTAGACTGGGATATCTTCTTGCCTGCTTGCGTCTTTTCGTATAATACCGGCATCCATTCGAGTACCAACGAAAGTCCATTCTTTATGACATTCGGACGTGACCCTGCATTTAGCTTTGACCTTATGTTTGAACACCAGGCATTCCAGCACATTCCTTCCGACGCTGATACCAGTATCTATAAGGAATCTCTGGTTTTGTCCTTTCACTAGGCTTGGACCTCTGCAGCTGCCTTTAACGCCAAGCGGAGCTTAGCATTCAAAAGACAGCACGACAAATCGGCGTTATCCCCATCTCCAAATGTCGATTGGGGACCGAGTGTACCTCAGAGATTGCGCTCCCAAGGTCGGCCTTTCCTCTTAACTCTGCTTGCCCTGGTTGGGCCAATTTAGGGTCATTTCAGTTGAGCATCCTCACCTCATCATGACTAGCATTACATCCCCTCAGTCTCCACCTAAAAGAGTTCATATGAACCAAGGCAAAAAATGTTTTGCAATGTCTGTACCAGTTTTTCCTTCTCCTTGGACACCTGTTGAAGGAGAAGCCGCCCTGACCCGTTTCGAGGCCGAGACTGCTGGTGTCGCGGGTTACTCACATACCGTAACACACCCGCCCTCAGCCTTTCCTCGTCCCTCAGTCTTTCACTCATACAACACACACTTTCGTGAACGCATGACTCCCATTTAGCTTTTCACTTACTTCAATCTACCATCTGGTCATTTGTGGTCATCCTCACCTTCAATTCACTTATTTTCATTACTTATCGATTGCTCTTTTGTATTCCAACAAATTTTCAACGATTTTTCGTTATTGTATTTGTTTTACCGTGTCCGCAGTCGATGTGAACTTATTGTGGCTCAGTGCATCACCCTAGGCTCATATGGCCCGCTTTCAGACAAGCGTACGTCCTTGTGGACTTTGAGTGTTTTTCGATCAATCTCTATACGTAGGTGATCCTGACACCGCTCAAGACATCGATCAAGTGGCAAACGACACCCAGCCAAGTAGTGGGACCTAGTCTTCGGCCCTCAAGTTCGGCCTACGTCCTTTCAGGGTCTCCGCCCCCTCCGGTGCCAGTTGACTCTATCGACCACAGCGTGGGGGATTCTATGGTGCTTGACGACGCTTCGGCTGTAAATGATGAAGAACCTATTGACTGCGAAGTGACCGTACCGTCCCGAGACATGGCCGATTTGCTGATTGATCCAACTCTTATGTCGTCTCTGGACATGGACACTGCACCCCCTTGTGACGCTGTCATCGAGCTAAAGGTCGAGGTTTCATCGGAAACATCCCTCGACCAGATCCCCTCCAACGTCATCTCGGGGGCCGATGTAACTATAGGTGAACCTGCCGGAGCCCTTGCTCCTAGGTCAGAGCCTGTTGGTACTTCAGCTTCTTCGATCGATTCTGCTAATTCTACGACTACATCGGAAGCGAAAATTTCCACAGATTTTCCTATGCTAATGTCATCGCTCGCCAACAAGCAGCCGCCGCCGCCGCAAAGAATGCTTTCTTTATAACCTTCGCTATGCTTCCGCCGACTCCAGTCAGTCGCCCTCAACGACCCCGCAATACCGCCGAGGTCTTAATTACGAATTACCGACGTCGCGATAAGCCACTTCCTACCTCCCAGTGGAACTAACGTCTGCGATGCCACCCGACTTGTACTGCCATATTCCCCCAGGCGGATATCTCTCAAGTAAGTACGTAAAACGTTTGATCCCTCGCACCTTTGAAAATAAGCACCCTGTCCTTCGCCGACTCACAGTTATCGAGCTGATGCGACTGGAACACGCCGTCGCATTTCAACAGGCTTCTAAAACCATCATTGATCAACTCATTCGCGGAGAGTACACGGCTACCGAGAACACAGCGTCTCCTACCCTTGAAGGTTCTAGGCCTGGTGCACTTCTTACGTGAGTCCGCTCTCAGTCAGTTCCCCGTCTTGTACCAGGTTGCCTACAATGGGCTCGGCCAAGGCGTCATTCTAATGACCAGGACTGCCGGCGGACGTACTTAGAACATAATGGAAACCGTATCGCGAGTTAATTCGGATATGTCGCGTTCCGCCGAACGGTATTCATTACGCTCTGCGTCGGATAGGTCTACCACCAGGTCGCGATCAAACATGAACCGCTCCAGAAGCTCACGGCCTCGTTTGTACTTGAGGCATGTGGCGAGCGCCGTAGGGGCGAGTCGGTCTCCGTAGGTTACCACGACCAACACTGCAGCAGCCCAATTGACGGACACTGCCTTATCCTCGACGTCGCAAACGCCGTGAATATCCTTCGGTAGTTTTCGATTCGGCACTTGTGGAAGGCGCCCCTCGGGCGCATGTGGATCTCCATGTCATTCTTAAGCGCCTCCCTGACGTCCTGTACGTCCGCCGGCAATCCTGGTCATCACACGACAGCCCTATTCAACTCCTTCGCCACAGACGGTATATTTAACAAATGGATTGACTAGCAAAAAGAGTCCCCACGGCGCCATTGAAGACTACCTTCCGCGCCCACCCTTTGCTAAAGAGCTACCTAACTTGGTCTTCTACGATCACACACTTATTAATGGAACACGCGCAGAACAGCGCCAAATGTTCTTATCAAGCGTCCGGTGCCCTAACCCTAACCCGTTCCTCTTCGATGAAGTTCCAGGAAGTCCTCGAAGGCTCTTAGCGGCTCACATAGAAAGCCGGTCGAAGCTGATCGTTCTGAGCCTCTGTCGGAAAAATATCCAACCATCTTCTATCGCCATCATCGTCTTCTACAAAAAACAAGCACGCGTCCTATCCCACTTTGCTCAAAGCAACAACATCGACTTGCATACAGTGGATTCCTTGCAAGGTCGAAAAAGGACATCGTCATTTTGCTCACCACGAGAACAGGCTTTGATACCGATTGCGGCGACTTCCTCAACGATCCTCATCGACTCAATGTTGCCCTTTCCCATTGTCGGCAGCCAATTCGTCCTGAGTCACCAGCAGTTTCTGTTAGGTCTAACCTACTGGCACGACATCCTCCAATGGGCGACGCGAAGTTACTACGGCATCCGCACTACCCGATCTACTTGAATGAAACTGTTTCTTCGCATTCTCAATTACTTATCAGGTAAGCTAAGTAATTACTTCTATACTTCACTTTTCTAAGTCCGAGGACGGACTTTTTTTTTTGGTGGGGGGAGGTGTAAGAGGTCATAAGAGTTATCGGAGTGTAAGAGAATAGAAGGTTTAGATGAACCCCTCATTATTATTTCCTCGTCATTGATTCCTGGTGAGGAGATTGCAACTTGGATGAGGCTTGCGGTGTGAGAGGGTAGAGAGCATATCAGGTTACGGTAGCTGACTCATCTCATGCCATCCAGACAAGGGCATCGACTGGACTGATATTCACACACCATCATATTAATATACTGATGTTTATTCTCATCTTAGTCGCGCACAGTCTGCTGAGCGGTATGACCGCACCGATTACTGTAGGTATCTGACGGCAATGGCTAACAGTTTGCGACTACGCGACCAGACCGAACTTATTGTTTTGTAATCCCACCAATCTTTTCAAACTTGAAAGGCAATTCTATCGAAATGAAAACTCGAGAAGAAAGTGGAACTATAGGATTCCATGATTGGGGAAAACAATGCAACATTTTCAGAGAACCGTTCAGCAAGATTCGAAGACAGGTATAAGTTCAACAACTCGAAACGCGAACGTTAGTATATATAGCATTGTGAATACCAACCTAAAATATTGATTACTCTTTATCAGATGTTCAATTCAGCTGAATATTAGGAATCGGTTTTTTGAGAAACCTGGTGTATTTGGCAGCTCTCCGTGCAAATACCAACTTGTTGAGAAAATTACAGCTAAAGCGGATAGATGGATAACCGGACATTTCACGTCGGTCCTTTGACAGAGGCCATGGGCCATCTTCTCTTAAGAGGGGAGAACGTTGAACTTCTATTGAATTGTATAATTTCAGCTGCACAGTGTTAGGGTTTTCGCTCATGTGAGTTGTAGTTGCGAAGGTCCAACTCAATAAATGTATGCCCCAATACACACTCCACACCGTAAACGGACCCAAAGCGTGAACGCACTCGGTTGCGCGATGTTGCACACTTAATTGCCGCACCATATTAACTTTCTCACGTGCTGAGTAACACGTAAAAACGAAATGAGTAAGAAACCTTAAAGATGCGACAAATGAAAGTAATAATGAACCTCATTTGAAACATATGGTCTCGAGCATTACCTATCACTCGTTCACTCCCATGGAATAGCAGGTGATTCAATAGTGTCAGACTCTGCAAAAATCACCAATAGTCGACAGTATCCTTCCTCTCATATATATATATATATATATATATATATATAGAAGGTAACACGA